TTATGATTCAGATCTCTGGTCTTACCAAATGAGCTATATTAAGTGCAGTGTAAAGAGATATGGGCCAGTGCAGATAATATATACAGGGGAAAAAGATTAACTTTATGTAACATTGTAGAATTTAAACAAGCATTAGTTTCACCCTTTTTCCACTTGTGAGAACCTGTAAATATTTTACCCTTTTGAAACGGGTTGCTGTCATCAAATAGCTACAGCTAACAAACTTGCTTTGTTCAGGCACCATCATGCTGCATGTTGGCTGGTTCTGATTGGCTACCTGCTGGATTTGGCAGATGGAGCAGTTGCCAGGCGACTCGATGCCTGCTCTGCATTGGGTAAGTGGAGTGTTTTGGTCAAAAGCTCTTACCAAAGATAAACTTCAACTGGGATCTTGGCAGGGCTTGCTGCACAGTCCTTTATCTGGACTTTGTAATTTGGCTGCACAAAGTCATAAACAAAGGCAACCAGTAAAAGGAAACACTGCCACTGAAATACTCTGGCTAGTCTTACAAAGTCTGCAAGAGAAGAATCATACATATTTTATGTAATGTAATTTGAGCTTTATCAAATCAGTCTTCTAGCTGTATATTTCAACGGTCTCTGCGGGTTATACACTTAAGGGTTGAGTGTGAATAGCATAACATCCCCTTTCATCACCCAATGCAAATACACAGCATATAAATTGTACCACTGTGGCTTGTTTTCAAAAGATCACAGCACTTTATGTAGTAAATCAAGAGGCACAAATAGCTGGTTTAACATTGCTTTTGTTGCGAAAGTTCACATTTTCTCCGAAGCCCAAAATAGCTCCCAGGTGCATCACAATATATCGTTGGCTGCACTTTTCGCTGGGCTTTGTGTCCCGACAGGGTTTTTCTGCATGACTTTGCAGGTGGATGTTGTTGTGCCCCCAGTATTTTGTGAAATGAACAATCACTTTCTGATTAAGCAGCCTAATTCCACGGGCTCACGCTCCAATTGTCTATTTTATCCCGTTGCTTTGGGTTCTCTGCATATCTGAAATTGCTAAAATTGTTGACCCTGGGCTGTGGAATTCCACCTCGTTCATGGCCTGAATCACCTCATCCTCATGTGCTAAAAACATGCTCCGTGCTCCTGAGGGGATAAAGAGACAAGGCAGTGGAGAATGTTGTTTACAGAAAGCCTGCCGTTGGGCTGACACTGAAATTTCCACTTGGAGAATTTTACACATACAATCCCACTGTCACCTGTCAGTAATATTGGCAGTGACCATTCTGGAGAGATGGTAACATACCTTCACTGGCTTTGATAAAATAAACTCATGACTAAGGCACTGTTGAAAGGCAGCTGGTGCTCACTTGTAGCCTTTCTAGTAGATTATTCAGAATATTTTTAGTACGGGTAGTGTCTGTCAACAATACCAATACAATTCATATCTCCTTGTGAACTTCACAGAGCCACATTTAGTATTTATATTTTTATTTTTCATGTTCAGGTGCCAAGCTAGATGATTTTGCTGACTTCACGACCTTCGGGATTGCCACGTCGTTGCTCTAAGGACACCTGACCTGGTGGACAACATCCTCTGCATGTGTTATGTCTGTCTGTTTTTGTTCGCCTCTGTTTCTTCTCAGCGGTAAGTTCCAAATGTACTTATTTTAGCTGCACATTGAGTCTGTCATTTAAATTCCACTTTATTATTTAAATGACTAACCAGAGATTTCTTGTTTGGTCCTCAGGGATCCCATTCATGTATCGCGGCCTGCCCTGCATCTACTCCTCAGCCATCCTGGCCAGTGCCTCTCTGCTGTCAGGGGGAAACATGGCCTTGCTGGGGTCATTGCAATGGCCATGATCCTCTTTATGATCAGTCAGAACTTCTACCCCCATGACAGAGTGCTGGAGTCCCAGGCTGGAAGAAAGCAGTCTATGCTGGAGGTAAAGTCACTATGATTCATCTTTTTTGAACAAGAACATGTCTGCTGAGTTAATCACTGCCAGAGTTGATTCATTATAGAAAAGCAATTTCAAATTAGATTTCAGGTACAACATCTAGCATGTGGTAGCAGTATCTACCCATGTAGATAGTTTTGGTTTTATTTTAGAGGTCCGACCTACCACCACCACAGTACAATCAAAGTGAGTAGAATATAAATTTGTGCTGCTCAAACAGCATGAAATTAAATTTGACCCACTCAACAGCAATGCATTTTTCTTGCAACAATGTTTCTTTCTTAACTCAGCATAATAAGAAGTCAATGCAAGCTGTTTCCAGTGGATTATTTGTAGCTGTGCTAGTGTCATTGATCTAGGAAAGCAACGTTATCAATCTCTAGGTGGTCGGGCGGTTGGTCTACCACTTTGATCCAGACTGGACCAACATATAATCATGGTGCCCAGAGGATGAATCCTCATGAATGTGGTGACCCCAGGATGTTTTCATTTAACACCTATAGTACTTGATGCTTTGGGGAAAATGTTCCCTGATTCCCTGATAACCTTTAATTAGAGTTTACATCAGATTACTTTTTATGCAAAACTAATCACATTCCCATCAACCTCAGCTGTACTTTGTGTTTAGTGCTAATCCACAAATGTTAGCATTATCATTGTCAACATGTTAGCATGCTGACATAACATTTAGTGCAAAGGACTGTTGTATGTATGTACTGCCTTTAGCCGGTAGTGTGACTAGCCGTTTTGTATGTAGTTTTAAGGAAAACTGTACATAGTTTTTGGATTTTTGGTTTTTGGATTATCATAAGTAATCCAGCAATACATGCTGCTGTTGAGTTTTCAATTGTAATTATTTAAATTACTTTTTTTACTCAACTTTTTTATTTCCAGGAGTCATCATGGTGTTCTGCTCTTCATTCCCCCCTGCATGTGTCTACTACCTGCTGTGGTCTGTCTCCTACATATTGTTCCCAACATCCCTTTGGAGCAGTAAAGTGTAAAAGGGGTTCTGGCTTTTTCCAAAACTCCCAAATAGGTTAACCTCTGGCACATCTGGGTGGACTGAGGCTTCCTGCCATGGAGGATCCAAGCTGAACATGCTCATGCGCCACAGGCAAACACTCGCTCTATTTAACCTTTATTTTAATGTGACATCTCTAAAACAGAACTCAGATTCAAGAGAGTTAGAGTGAGGTATGAGAAGGGCATTTTAGTGTTACTGGTAAGGATGAACCTTCATTCTGTCTTATGTTTTCATTGCATTTTCACTGAAGCCAGTGGTTGGGTGGCTTGTTCTAAAAACTGAATTTTCATAAGGATTATCTCATACTTTCATCATTGTTCAGTCACCACATGGAAGCAGGGCTCATAATTTTCTCCAGGAATAAAATAAACAGAAAGGATTTCAAATGAAATAATTACCTGAAATTCATATATATTGTCTCTAATTTGTTTTTTTAAATGTTTTGTAATCACACAGGACATCACAACTCTTAATATGTCCTCAGTATTGAGCTTAGCTCAATGTGTAACTACAGTATGTAGGTAAGGCATTTAATCTATGAATATACATTATTTCTTAAGATGATTATCAATAACACAGTAATTCATACAGCACTAATGACCAGTCTTGTGTTAGCTGACTGTCAGTTAATGGTTGTATCGGTTTTGGGGTCACTTCATTATCAAAGCATTCAGGTGAGGATGGGCATTTCCCAAAATCCACTTTTTCCATTTTGTCCGGGATTCAAATCCAGTCATTTACAGTAAGAAACTTTCCAACATGACGATACAGTCATTCCTGTTATTTGATTTGCTGTTTGAATATATGTTTGAAGTAAGTTGAATTGAAAGGCAACTGATCCCAACCCTGGTTTTGGTGCATTCTGGACTGATTTTTAGTTTTTTAGACTTTTAGCTTTTTACCAAGTTGTTACTCTGTCCAAGAAACAATGTTTGATTTACATATTTCTTTATGTGTGATTTTATTCGGTCATTGTATATGTTCCCCTCTGTTTTAAGAGGAATTGCAGTTTAAATACTAAATCCGCACTGGATCACATCTCATAGTAGTCCTGTGACCACAGCTGAATCAGTGGTGTCACTGCAGGTGTTTCCATCACTTGTCAAACCACCAGTGATATCAGTCACGGATGTTGACCAGAAATGCAATACTAACTAAATAGGACTGCAGCAGCAGTTTTCTTCCACATGTGATTCAGTGTGAATTTACCTTTGAAGAACAACAACACACTGGCTGCAAATCCTGCTTTTGCTGCCATCTAGTGGGGGGAAAGTTCACCACGCTGCAAGGTCTGCTTGCACCTTTTAAATGTTTTGAATCACACTGCACCACAGTCAATGTTGGTTTTGCTAACAAATGCACCAGACAACCGAAACTTTAAACCCTCAGACATCAAAAAGGAGAGGATACGTGTGTTGTTACTCTTTAACTTGGCCAGCATTCAGTCCATTTTGTAGATTAGTCATTTTTTAAGGAAACCTTTCTGGCATTACTCATCATGTTTCACAATGTGGATTGTCTCTCTGCATAGGAAGTGACAACTGGGGAGAATATAGTTTTATAAGACTTTGTGTAGAATATGATGAAGCAAATAGCACAGAGTAACGGGCTTTATCTGTTCTCAACACTAAAAGCTACTGATGCCCCATATTTAAATTTTGACTCACTCCACACCTTCTGAAAATCTTTTAAACTTGTAACCAGAGGTGTCAGAGCTGTTAATGAGTTATCTAAATGAGTCTCCTCGCCAGAGCTTTCTGAGGGAAAACTGACCAGAATTTCATAAATCAAGTAAATGAATACAATGGTCATGTTCTGGTTTTGATAATGATTTTAAACCACTAATGACAACCAATGTTGTGAAAAAATCTACTGTGTAAAGTGCATGCACAGACTGAACACAAATCTTGCACATTCAGCTTTTCTGTGTGGGTGTTTTGGTTTTCAAATTGTAAAGTCCCAGTAATGCATGCCAAGAGCATTATAGATACAACAAGTGTACTTTGCCCAATGATAAAAAAGATCTTAATGAATAAGATCTGTGCTTCTGAGTCTACATTTATTGCAATAAAGAGGTAATTATAAAATGACTTGATTTCAGTGTCCTTAATACATCACCATCAGTGTTTGACTGTAATACTGTGAAGTTACATAGTTATTTTTAACTTGTTGGAGGGTTACCAATAAACCAATTCAGTGGTAGACATTTACCAGTAATGGATGTGACATTGCATTCTGAGTTTTTATATACAGTCTATGATTCTGAGAGATAATCACACGTGATATGTTGGTCATTTCCTGTTAGCCATAGTGTTGCCATTATTTGGTAGCATGTGAGCCTATGACAGCAGTCCTGCCTTTCTGTTATACTCAAGTATGTCTATGTTCTCAGGAACACATATGGCTTCTGTAGACGCTAGATGCAGTGAGGACTCCAACAGCTTTATGATGGCCGAGAATGCAGGTCGATCTTTGAAACTCCACATCCAACAGTACTTCATCAGATCATACCTAAAAGCATACAAAAGTAATGTAAAACTAAGACATTTGTTAAAAGAACAGTTCTGCATTTTTGTAAGCTTAGCTTAGTCCAAGATAAAATCAATCTGCCTAATAGCACCTCTAATTACCTAAGCTAACCGGCTGCTGGCTGTAGCCTCATCTACAGGCAGACAAAAGAGTGATATCGATCTTCTCATCTAAACCTTTGCAAGAAAGTGAAAAGGGCTTGATTCCCAAAATGTCTTTCTTCATCATTTCAAAAAGAGTATTTGAATGAAAATGAAACTTTCACGAGTATAAGTTGACTCAATTTCTAATACTACACCAAGAGACAGTATATTACACCATGTCAAGTGGGCCTATTTCCTACACAAGTTTACTTACAAAGGTCCTCCACAATTGTCTGGTCTCTTCATCCGATAAGACCCCTGTAGCTTTGGAAGCACAGAAGGGGTCTCCATGTCAGGGTATGGAGGAGAGCCTGAAACAAAAACAAACAAGCAATTGTTGAATAAATAAATGTGACTTTAATGGCAATGGGTGACACTGATGATAGTGTCTATCCAATACTACAAATTGTAGAAATCCGTATGTTTTAAATAAGCTAATCTGAAATGGCAGAAATACTGACAGTTTAAAGAAGTTGCTGATAGATAACAGAACATGCAGCTTTACCTAAGGTAATCAGTTCATACAGTAAGATTCCAAATGACCACCTAGGGAAAATAAAATGTTAACAAATGCTTCTGTAATAGTCAAGCAATAGCAAAAAGAGATTACATTGCTGGCAAAACAACACATTCTAGGTGTGTGTGTTTCGTTTTCTTAGCCATAACTCTGCCCTTACACGTCGCTCCTGTCGATACTGAGCTGCATCATAATCCTCTCCGGAGCCTGCCATTTGAGAGGCACCTCTGCTGCTCTCTGCCTAATTGCTGAATCCATTCTGCGTCCTCGAAATGCCACACCCAGCCCAGACACCCGGGCTGAGAGGCCGGGGCCAATTAAGATGTTCCTGGCAGCAACATCACCATGCACCAGCCTGTGCTCTGACATCAGGTAATCCTGAGGGAGGAGACAATTACAGCTAAACACATCAGTCTTTGGTTGAAATATTCATTTAAAATTCTAGAGAAACTACACTTTTCCCCTAGTACATGAGTTCATGACCTGCTGTGGTACAGAAGTACATCTGCAATAGAGCAAGATATTTATATTGAGCTCATCTTAGTCTAGTTGTTTGTTTGGAATAATTGTTTTTAAAAAAGTGACTCACCAGCCCAGCTGCAACCTGCTTTGCTACCAGAAAAACTGACCTCTCAGAGAAGTTCAGCGATAAATCCGCTGTGTTCTACAGGAAAAAAAAATTGCTGTCATGACATTTAGGAATTGGAGATTGCATGTATCATCAAATACGAGTTCATGTTCAAACAAAAGCTGTCTTACATTTCTGAGTGTCCAGAGGAAGTAAAGGAGGTTCCCTGGGCTGTACGCATCTAAGACCAGATACATGGGCACACGCTTGGTTTGACAGTACAACATCCGCACCACATTCTCATGTTTACACACTGTGGCATGGAAGAGGACCCACTCCACAAACTCCTTAGCTTCAGGTTGGTTGGGGCCTTCTATATGGTGTTATATTAGTAACAGAGGTACAGAGGAGTCAAATAATAACAATTTACTCTATCTATATCATCTGGCTCATCTAGCCCCACTCCATCTGAAACACCAATGATTTATTTGCATACTTTCACTCTTATTCCAAGCGAAATAAGACAGATTAATACTGTACCTCGGAGGGTCTTAACCACTACAGCAGAAAAGGATCCATCTCTCTTTTTCAGCAGACCTTTACAAACAGGGCCATGGCGACCTGTCTGCCAAAACTCTAGTCCCTCAACAACACACTCCTCAGGGATTTCCCAGGGATACAAAGCAGCCTGGACCTTTGGAGTGCTTACAGAAGCAGCCGTTAGGGACACAATCTGCTGGCCTGTTGAAAAACCCAACCAGAGATAAATAACCACCTGGCATTCCTCTCAGGCACTAATGCATTTTTGTTATATAGAGAATACACATTAATTGCAATTCATACCATTTGTAAACTGGGCTGAAGTGCTTTGTCCTCTTTGTTTGTTCTTGTGGAGACTGTAGAAAATCAGAGCCACCACTAAAACTGTGCTCAGAGCCAACAGACATGGGATGATAATTATAGCAAGTGGACCTGATGACCCCTCATCTAAATAAGACATGAAAGAAGAATCAGGTTCAGAATGAGAAAACCGAAGAGGAGCAGGCAATAACACAAGTTTGCAATGCATTAAGTGCCATGTGTACAACTTACAGCACATAGGGAGCGAGGTATCGTTACTACATCCATGAGGAGTAACCGACATTTCTCACATATGAGATATGAACAGAAAAATCAACAGAAATTCAAAAGTCACCACCAGACAAGCTTATCCCTGTGTTGAGAATAATGGTTGAAAAATCACACTAACAGGGCTTCTATCAGGTACTTTAATTTGGGCTTAGCTTTGTCTGTCAGCCTGCAAGGGCGCTGACCGTAGAGCTGAGCTAGAAAGTTGACTGAATGTTAATCATTAACAGTTTACCAAAATTGATAACATTAACAGGTGTCGTTCTCACACTTACTGCTGCCTTAAAGGGTAACTGATTAAACTGTGAAACTGTAATATGCATACTATAGTGTTAAGTTTAGTTTGTTTTTAGGACCCATATAAAAAATTTGGCTCTGGCTCACAAGGCAATGAACAGAATAGCTAAGCATCATCAAAACAGGTACAATGAAGGCAAAATATGGCAACTTTATTTGTACATTTTGTACACCAGGGCAGTTCAATGTGCTTTACAGGTACAAAACAAACAAACAGAAAGTGTAAAATATTTGAAATTTTTGTGGACAAGTGAAAGTTTCCTTGTACTGTAAGTGTATCTGAGGAAATTTAATTTTATAGTAGTACAGTGGCACGTGTTGATGATAGGTGCTTGAACTGTTACAACCACCAGAGGGCAGGATTGCGCAAGAAATCGCCTCCAACGAGTAACCTCCTCAGTTCTGAGAACACAAGGAGGTTGCCAGTGTCCAAACGCATCCCACGGACCCAAAACCACACAATAAAGCCCAAGAACTACGTATAATGTTCTGCCAGCTGTATAAAGAACACATAGAAATCGGCACAAACTGTAGAGAATATGCCGAACTTACAATACTCTCCACGTGAAAATATGCGTCCCAGTGCCCAGTGCTTCTCAACCACAAAGATCCGCCTCTTGCCATACACTATTGGCGCAATGGAGAGGCTTTAGGACCGGCCCCAAATCTCTGATTGGACAGAAGCCCCTGCAGCGAGGAAAGAAACACGGAAAAGATCAAAAAAGTTATGGAGTGAAACCTAATCGGATCACGTCTGTTCCATGATGCTGCGTAGTTTTTAGTAGCAACAAATCCCCGCAGTGCCTCTGGAGTAGCAGTGAAGAGCGCCGAGCGCGTAACGGAGAAAAAGAGGCAGGGTTTCAGTTTTGAAAGGATCAGATAACCGCCGGGTTCAGAGCAGGGCCAGGTATGTTTTTCCGTTTCCATGGACTGCCTTGCTGATGTCACAGCGAAGGAGGGCCGGAGAGGAGGACAGGTGCGCAGAGTAAAGTTGTGTCTCCTGTACGCTTGGATGAGGAGCTGTCACAGAGCAGAGAATTAATACCCAACAGCTGATAAATATTTTTTAGTCTAGTCAGTTTTTTTAAGTTTTTCTGTATTTGTAAAACTCTATTCTGGTTCATTTGTATCAATTTGGTCTGTTCTGAAGTTAAGTGGAATATATGCTATAGTTCTCCACGCTTTTGGAATTGAGACGCTCTCTGGTGCGCACAGACTGCGAGACTCACAGGATCCGTTCTGCTCTATAATATAGGGTTTAACGGCGTAAAGGAAGCTGCTATTGTTTTTTTAAGTGCACATTGCTGTGAACTGGGTGTGTGGGACCGAGACGCTCCAGCATCAGAACCAGCACTTTCCGCTTCAATGCGACACTGACGCAGCTGGTCTCGCATCCCGGTCCGCAGTCGACAGGTGATGCTCGAGTAGGTTCAATGGAATGATCGATCATCAACAGAGCGAGTTTGATCTAAAAAAAATACATATTTTCTCTGGAATGGAATACAACACAAGAAAGCAGCCTCAACTTCTCTAATCTGCAATGATCTTCCCGTGCGTCATTGTGTCCTAGGATCAGAAGCGGTTCTTGCGTTGAAGGACAATCGTTCTTGGACTTCCCTCCAGGTTACAGGAGCGAGCCTATCAACAATGTCCAAGACACTGAAAAAGAAGAAGCACTGGTCCACTAAAGTACAGGAGTGCACCGTGTCGTGGGTGGGTTCCGGGGAGTTGGTCACGGTAGTTGAGGTGCGAGGCGGCGCTGAGCTGGGAGAGTTCCCACACCTCGGAAACATAGT